TCTGTTTTTCTGTGTGGACCCTCAGGCTGATCACATCATTATAATCCTCTTTTTTATTTATTTCTGTGGCAGAAAACCGTTTATGGAGCTAATGTGGTCATCTTCGAGGGCATCTTGGCTTTCGCCAACAAAGAGCTGCTAAAGGCAAGAGAATTTCATTTGTATTTGTTTTTCAAGGTAAATCCTTCATATTTGTTTGCATGTTGGACATATTATAGGCAGTGAACCGATTAAATGCACTGAAGGAGAACAAACATTCAGCTATGTGTTTTCTTTTAAAGCCTGAAATCACTTTTTGATTGTTTTTTGTGTTTTTATGTTGTTTATCTCATTTAATAATCTTTGCCCTCATCTCATTACAGCATCTTTCAACCAAAACACTGCATGCAAATTCAAACCCATGAGCTCTGTTTTGCATTTATATGTTGAAATAGAATAATACTAAATGCATATTATGTTTTTATATAATACTTTATTTCTGCACAACCATAGATGTTCTTTGGATGTTTTATTTCTGTAAAATGAATCGTTTTGATGAAGGAAATTGCAGCAATGACCTTTAAGTCTTTCCATCATTTTGTTGCTGTATTTATTTCTCTTTCTATTTCTTCTTTATTCTCTTGCTGTTGTTTTCTCTCAGGCTTTGGTTTTAATTTCAGCATCTGTGACCCTCAGGGAAACGCCATCATAGCAGAATCTGCCCATTGCAGCTGTTACCCCCCCAGGGCTGCTGATTTCACAGCTTTAGGCCCTGGGGATCTTTTTTTAATCTGTTAATTTTAGCAAATATTCAACATCTAAGTTAATTTTGTAGAAGTGAGATTTTTGTTTTCTTTTTTTCCTGTTTTTTTTTTTCTTTTTTATTTATCCCTTCTGATGTTTCTTGTTTGTTTTTACCTTTTGACATCCTTATCTTTAAGTCCATGTAAGGAATCAGTTCAATCTGCTGCATGAAAACTCTTTATTATGAAAAGTAGAAATTCTATTAAACAGGAAATTGATTTCTCCTTTATTGAAAGGGTGTTTACGGTCAGTAAAAATCCATACGATGATCCCAGCGGTAAATAAGTCCTGCTCTTATGCATCGTTTCTTCCACCCTCTTGGTGTTTGCACGTTTATGTGTTCACTGGGCTGTAGTGATAAGGCGGCCAGCCTCCCATGAGACCCATCGGTGTTGCTGATTACCCTCTTATTCAGTCGGTAACAGTCATTGTCCTCTGTGATTAATTGTGTTTTGTGTCCATTCTGGTAACTGAAGCCAATTATAGCTGCTAATCTGCTGAGCTAATAAACAGGTCTGGGTTAGGAGGCCGTGTCCAGGGAAGCACGATGCAAGAAGCTTTGAATTTCATTAGAAATATAGAGCTGGATTTTTAACATGAATTTAACTGAACCATTGGCTTATATGCAGTGATCCATTTGATCAGTTGTTGCTGCAAGTAAAAAACATGTTTTATAGATTAGAAAAAATACACCATTTGAAAATTAAA